TGTGTGTGTCTGTGTTTACATCACACTGTGTGTGTGTCTGTGTTCCATCACACTGTGTGTGTCTGTGTTTACATCACACTGTGTGTCTGTGTTTACATTAGGGCATTAACAGAGTACTCGAGTAATCTACACATCGATTGCTAGGACATCTAGCGAGGTTAAAAATGTAACGTTGAGTATCCGTAGTGACGTCATATTATGTGACCACCGTATGACCGTAGGGAGCGGTGTTGCACTGTTGCAGGTCACAGAGTATGGTGTACCTGTATTGATTGTGTTGTGTGTATTTGTGTTTCTGTGTGTGTTTGTTGTGTTTGTGTGTTTGTGCCTGTCGAACCTTCCAAGATGACTGTTATTGGGTTGGGTCTGAAGCCTTCTCCCCCAGGACACAAAGTCTTGTAGTCAGCTGCAACACAGGACATTAATCAAAACCAGAACTAGAACCAGAACCAGAACCTGTCTCCGACACAACTTTATATGAATATAAGAGGACAAAATGGCTGACGTGTTAACGTATAAACTGCAGAAGAGCAGAACCAAATGTTAAAGCTGATGCCACAGGCTCATTACAATCACTATGGTAACCACACCCCTGTCTGTCACTCCCTGACTGCCTAATTAATGAGAGGGAGACTGCAGACTCAAAAGTAAGCTTCAGACAAATGGTGTCTGCTGAGAAGCAGGAGGTTCTGATGGTACCACAGGCTGTGTCTGGTGGTTCTACAGGATTTTCACTTCCTGTTTGGAGAATATTTAAACTAAAACGAAACAGAGTTTGAGGAGACTTGGCTGTGACCTCTGACCTCTGAGAGGACACCATCAGTCCTGCAGCAGAGACACTCTGAGGAGACGGAGACAGAAAGACTGAAGTTTGAAGTTTAATTTCTTTATTATTATTATTAATATTATTATTATTATTATTTATGTGAGAGTAAGAAGTTTGTTTGCAAACATCAACTCAAAGTCAGTCAGGGTGAGGTGATCAACTCTAACCTGAAGGGTTTTAATCTGTCAATTCCTCTGTCAGTAAAACTTCCTGTGACCCGTTTAAACTGTTCTGTTCTGATGACATCCAAACATGAACACTCAGTTCAGCAGGATATCATTGATGTTTATGGGAAAACATTTTTTTTTCACCATCTGACACTCTGAAAACAAAAATCAGAGCTGATTATTTCTGATCGAGACACGTTTGGATTTGATCTTTGTTTGGGTTTTCACACAGCAACAGAGGAAATGGAAAAAAAAAACTGTATTGAAGATGGACAAATCTTCTACGTTCAGCTGTTCCCTCTTCAGGGGGCTCTGCAGTGAGTCCTCCTCCACCTCACTCTGTCCTCTGTCCTCACTCCAACTACCTCCATGTCCTCTCTAACTGCATCCATCTCCTCTTTGTCTTTTTCCTGGCAGCTGCATTTCTAACATCCTTCTACCAATATACCCACTGTCCCTCCTCTGGACATGTCCAAACCACTGTCCCTCCTCTGGACATGACCAAACCACTGTCCCTCCTCTGGACATGACCAAACCACTGTCCCTCCTCTGGACATGACCAAACCACTGTCCCTCCTCTGGACATGTCCAAACCATCTCAGTCTGACCTCTCTAACTTCATCTCCCAGTTGTTCAACCTGTGCTGTACCTCTGAAGATCTCATTCCTAATCTTATCCATCCTTGTCACTCCTAAGGAGAACCTCAACATCTTCATTTCTGCCACTTCCAGTTGTCTCCTGTCTTTTTGTCCATGTCTCTGTCTCCAGATCATAAATAGCTGGTTGACCTTTGCTGCCACCCTTTAGTCGCCAATCCCTCCTGAAACGTTTCTCCATCATGTGATGGACGCGGAGGCGTAACGAGCTGATAGTTGTGCTTCAGTGTTTGTAGACTGGAACCAACAATGTCAGTAAAGTTTGTTTGCAGGATTTGCAGAGACTGGTTAAGAAGACGTTTTATCTAATCAGTTAGTCCATAGAGCTGAAGTCGTGACTTCCAGTTTCTGCTGCAGCAGAAGGCATTTCCTCCAACTGAAAAGCATGCGTCAGTGTCTGCCCCGCTCTGCAGCATCTGGAGCTGGTTGGATGAAACCGGCTCCTCTTTACCAGCATCAATTACAGCAAACGTCCGTCGCACGACAACAGGATGTGGCTGTTTGTTGGCATCTAACTGCTGATTCACAGCTGATCAGGTTGGTGCTGTTCCTTTCATCAGTTACACAAGAACAAACTACTTCCTGTTCCCTTCACTTCATCCACAGGAGAGTTTACTACTCTCATACTTCTATAGCTAAAACCACATGTTTACATACAGCCCATTAATACACACAGAACAAAACATCTCCTGTTTCAGGTCAGCTAGGAGTCACTAAACGATTTCTGTCCATCATAAGAGCCTGAATAATGAGAGAGAGGGAGTTACTGTATTTACTTTCTGCATGGTCACAAGTTTACATACACTGAGCCCGAGTGATGATGTCGTGGCTATGGAAGCTTCTTATTGGTTAAGAGCCCAGCATACTCCATCCGAAGCCGAACAGATGGATCGTGGTCACATGGTCGCTGGACGTTCGTTTTCACACTTTTCATCGTCCACGAGACACGGCGCAGTGCTCCTGGGAAGCCCCGCCCCCTGCAGTATACATCATCGCAGGTTTCTTCCTGTCAGAGTCTCCTTTCTGTCCCTGCAGCCACCGTTTGGCCACAAATCTGTCATGAAGAAAGTGTCACGCTTTTCAGCAGACAGACTCCTCCATGGACGATGTGTGCACAATCTCCATCCAGGACATTTTGGACATTAGATGAATGTTGATTGACGAACACGCCCACAAACTTCTGACCAATCACACGATACTTGGAGTGCAAGCCTGGGAGAAAATGTTCTGCGCAGGCCTTGTGTCAGGAAGGGGCGGAGCTATTCTGAGAATAAAATGATGCATTTTTTGTCACGTAACTACATCAATGAGAGCTGATTTCACCGCTTCAGATGGAGATGCAGAGAGCTTTAGATGGTCAGAGTTAATCAGAGGCACATCTCAAACACTCGTCTGATTTCTTTTCATTTTCCCATGATGCCTTGCAAAGAAGCAAAAATACCATGGGCCTCCACACCTGGTCCATCCTTGGGGCCAAATTCTAGATGTCTAAAGGTTCTTCTGTTCAGACAAGTATAAACATCACAAAGAATTGACCTCAGCCACAGGAAATGTGTGAAAAGACAACAACGCTGACTCAGACCAGTTCTGTCAGGATGAACTGGACTAAAGTCCAATAAATTGTTGTGAGACACTGTGGAAGGAAACCCAGAACATTAGACCTGAGTCAGTTTAAAGACGACGGTACCTTTCACTCAAAACATGGAGGGACACTTTTGTGACTTTAGTATTCAAACTTTTAACAAATAAAATAAAATCAGACTGAATGTCCTTCTGCATCTTTTCATCCAATGGATGGAACCATCAGAGTCCATCTGTACCTGAGGTGGAGCTGACTCACTTGAGTTGACGGGGGGGCAGGATTCACACGGCGCCCCCCAGCCTTGGCCCTTAGAGCAGCAGCAGGACGCCTTGGAGACTCCAACACCGATCTCATTGGAGCAGTCCAAGTTCTCTGACGCATCTCCTCGTGCACGGACATCCCGGTAGCAGCTTCCAGAGCGAGTGTCTGGGGGGGTACACACACACGCACACACACATACATATAGGTTCACTCCAAGCTACCTCCCACCACCACCCGTCTGCAGGGAACTGTGTGGAGTCTCACCGACGCAGCCCACCCCAGTGGGGTTCAGCTGGAAGTCCGGGGGGCAGTTGCAGTTGTAGCTCCCGGGGGCGTTCACACAAAATCCGTTAATACAGAAGGTCGGGTCGGCACATTCGTTGATGTCTGGGAGGAGACGAGAGGATTTTCATCTTCATCGTCTGAACTCTTCTGCACATTTCGTGTTATTTTAACTGTTTATCAAACCTTCGGCTCTTTCTGGAGATGGCTGCTCTGGCTCTTGGTTTTTATTATTTATATACGCTGTATACTCTCTACTCTTTTAATTCAATTTCAATTCAGTTCAATTCAGTTTTTTTATATAGCACCAAATCACAACAAAGTTGTCTCAGGGCGCTTTACAGGAACATTCACATTTTAACTTTTAACTTTTAGGTAGCCTTCATTTGCTTAATTTTTTATTTTTTTTATTTATTTTTTTTTTTACGGTTCTGATACTTTTAGCTCCTAGCTTCCAAGCTTTGACTTTCAGATTTTAGTAAGCCCTTTTCTAGTTTTAGCTAGCATTTAGCTACTGACAGCTTTTAGTTAGATATTTGTTACTTTTGACTTCTAGCTAGCATTTTGCTACAAGGTACTTTGTGCTGTTTTTACCTTCAGCTAGCATTTTGCTACTTTTAGCTTTTCTGTAACCTTGTTACTCAAGTTTCTAGGTATCCTTTTGATACTCTTAGCTTTTAGCTACCCTTCACTACTTTAAATTTGTATCTACAGTTCTGCTATTTTTAGCTTCTAGTTAACATGCTTAGATTTTTGCTACTTTTAGCTTGTCTTGTTACTTTCATCTTTAACTAGCATTTTGCTACTTTTAGATTTTAGTTAACCTTTTGGTACGTTTGGCTTTTAGCTAGCATTTTGATACATTTTGCTTCTAGTTTGCTTTTTGTGCCTTTTAGCTAGTTTTTCGCTACTTCTAGTTTTTATCTATGGCTCTGTTACTTTTAGCTTTTAGTTAACCTTTTAATATGTTTAACTTTCAGCTTGCTTTTTGCTACTTTTAGCTAACCTTTTGATACTCTTAGTCTTAGCTAGCATTTAGCTACTTTTAGCTTTCTGCTGAGTGTTTGCTGTGAGTGTTTAACTCCTTTAGCTCTACCAGCTCAGTTTCAGCTTCTACAGCACAAAGACTCCAATTTGTCAGAAAAGTTGTTTTATTTTGTAGCTTCCATTGTTCTCATGTCTCTTTAAGGTTCTTCCTTCAAACTCAAACAGCAGAACCATTAAAGACAGCAGAACCATTAAAGACAGCAGAACCATTAAAGACAGCAGAACCAGTAAAGACAGCAGAAGCGGTGGCTCTCACCTGTGCAGTTTCCTCCGGTCTGGTCCAGTTCGTAACCTCGGTTACACTGACACCTGAAAAGACCCGGGATGTTCTGGCATCTTCCGTTTACACAGATGCCCGTAAAGGTACACTCGTCTATGTCTGAGAGACACAGAGGAGACAGAGGTCAGAGACAAGTCCACTTCAATATCATGAGGACAAACGAAAGCAGGTGAGACAAAGAGACGGAAGTTTGTCTGCTACAGGACAAGATGTCATCGAGCCAAAAAACATGGCAGAGTTTCTGTCAGAGCTGAAGAAGAACCGAAGATGTGGTCTGAGGTTCAGAGGACAGTCTCAGAGGACAGTCAGTCTCAAAGGACGGTTGAGAGGACAGTCTCAGAGGACAGTGTCAGAAGACAGTCTCAGAGGACAGTGTCAGAGGACAATGTCAGAGGAAAGTCTCAGAGGACAGTGTAAGAGGACAGTCTCAGGGGACAATCTCAGAGGTCAGTCTCAGGGGACAGTCTCAGAGGACAGTCTCAGAGGACAGTGTCAGAGGGCAGTCTCAGAGGACAGTCTCTGGAGACAGTGTCAGAGGACAGTCTCAGGGGACAGTGTCAGAGGACAATCTCAGAGGACAGTGTCAGAGGACAGTCTCAGAGGACAGTGTCAGAGGTCAGTCTCAGGGGACAGTCTCACCTTCGCAGGCCTTCCCATCAACAGAGCTGATGAAGCCCATGTCACACTCGCAGCGGAAGCCTCCGGGCAGATTCAGACAGTGTCCATTTCCACACAGGTTTCCATTGTCTGCACACTCGTCGCTGTCTGCGGGGACATTTGGACCACACCTCCGTCAAACACGTCCATCACATGGTCTTTTAAAAAGTGCTGCTGCAGTGTGTGCCACCTGAGCAGTAGAAGCCGTCTCCAGAGAAGCCGTCCTTGCAGGCGCAGCGGTACGAGCCCATGGTGTTGAGACAGTCGGCGTTGTTGCTGCACATGTGAGTCCCGTTGGAGCACTCGTCCAGATCTGAGAGACAAATGGACAAAACAACCTTTGGACACACTTAAACATCTGATCCTCAAAGCCCGTTTAGATTCTATAAGACGAAGATAATTTTAAGACAGGTACGGTGTCAGACATGCCACATACATTTTGGAGTTTTACGGTTTTATTTGACCTATTCTTTTAAAACTCACAACTTTAATTGTTTATTTTTTAGGAGCACTGCCAGGCAGAGACACCGTGCGCTTGTTTACCTGAACATTTTATGCCGTTGCCGATCCACCCCGGAGCGCAGCTGCACTTGAAGCTGCCGGCCGTGTTGGTGCACGCCGCGTGCCTGTCGCAGTTGTGGGCTCCGATCTCACACTCGTTGATATCTGAAAAAAGAACATGAACATTAGAGGGAAGCAGACTGGGCTCTGGTGGTCTCGTGATTTGTGTCGGTCTCTCTGGGTTCTTGGTATCACTGATACCAAGTTAGTTCGTTTAAAGACTAGCGCAGGTTTCTGGTTACTCAGCAGCAGGGCTTAATCTGAGCCGGATCCTGCCGGAACAGGATCCGAGAACTCTCTTATTTTGATAGGGTGTGTTCCAGTAACTGTTTACTTGGATCCAGTAACTCTCAGACTTACTAATAATAAAGTTATGAACAAATATGACTGCCTTGAAAGAATAAAACTTATATTGGATAAGTAAACAGAAAATAATTACATAAACACTCATTTTAAACACAACAGCTACTTACGACTTCATTACATACCACTTCAAGCAGCATTTCTGCTTCTACCCTTAAAAAATTTCCACCCCTAAAGGAGTGGTGGGGGTGAGTGCCGAGCTAACCAGGCAGTCATACGTGGTCAGGAGCCCACAGGCAGCCGCGACAGACGGAGGAGTCGGGCTCAGAACCATCAAGTAAGGGGGGGGGGGGGGGGGGGGCTTGACAGAAGCAGAGTATTTATAAATGTAAGTAAACATAGGTGTTTAACAACCCGTTAAAATATACCAAAATGCAGGAAATTGCATCCACTTGTTTCTTTTTTTTTTTTGGGGGGGGGGGGACACACACACAGACCCACCCACTATTTGCATTCTGCTCTCAGAGATGTTCCAGTCCTGTTCCTGTTTCACACTGAACCTGCAGCCTGATCCAGATCTCATCACTAACATCGTTTGTATCTTTTTTGACCCATTTGTTCCCAAACTCCTCAGCTTTCAAAATAAAAGTCTGAGACTCTGAACCCGAATGCTGCAAATGGAACTCATAAGACATTTAACAAAAAATAACGTATTGCCATTTCTTGGAAGATTTAAAGTTACTTTAATCTATGTAGACCACTTGGTGTTTCAGGACCCACAGGGGGGTCCAGCTTCAGGAAGCAGAACTCTAAGCTTCTGGTTGTGGCCCTGGATTGTAATAAATATGTGTGGAAAAATGCCGGGAACAATTACTGAAGTTCTGAATGTTCCTCAGGCAGGTCCAACATGAAGAGTGCACAACAATCTACCAAGTACCAGGTACCAGGCTCCGAGCGGAGCCAAAACAACTTTCTGAATGTCAACGTGTGCCGAGCTGGTGCTGCAGCTGTGTCAGCGTGGCTGCGTGTTTGTGGCGTGTTCCTGCACATCAAAGGAGCCATGAACTGAGTCAAGATGTGAGGATTTCACAGCCAATCGGGCGCACGCCTCTCATTTGTGAGGGCGGTAATCGTGTCAATGACAGATTAGAGCTGCTGCTTTACAGCCTTCCTGACTGAGCCTCCGGTATATTTACGCTGCGTCTGACGACGAGGTAATATGAGGGAGGCAGCACACCAATCTGCCTGGATTACAGGCAGAATTAATGACATCTCCCCCCACCCCCACGCCTTTGATGACAGGGAGCACAGCAAACACACGGAAAAGCAAAGAGACCGCAGCACAAAGAAACAGGGTTAACTGGGATCATTTCTGACAGAAGAAATTAAACAAATAAAAGGAAGAGCAGGAAATTATACATCTGTGAACGTTCCAGATGAGTTATAGATCTGTTTCCTGAGACAACACGACTCGGCTGAAAAACTACCAACGGTTCTGGAGTCCAACGGGGGTCCAACTGTCCAACAAGTCAAGTGTGGACCATGAGCCCAAACACAGCAGCAGATCTACAACAGAACGAGTCAGATAAAAGAGAACTGACGTGCTGCGACGAACCAGTCAGAGTCCAGCCCCTCCTGACTGAGACGCTGTGGTGGACCTTCAGAGAGCTGAGCAGAACCCTCAGTGATGGAAAGAAGAGTGGACCAGAACTCCTCCAGAACCGTGAGAGAGGCTGATGAAGTCCTACAGAGAACCACTGAGGTTTCTGCTGCTGACGGAGGTTCTGTTGGGTCACAGGTTCTGGTTTCAATTCAAAACTAGTGATCAGAACCAACAGCAGCTGACCCAATACAAGAAAGAACTGTGAGGACCTTTGAATGAGGACAGAAGAGTTTTTACTTTAGATAAAATCCTGGAGAAGTCCTCCAAACAGCCCAGCTGTCAGTCAGACCAGGTCCATCCAGGATGAGTCCGAACCAACAGGACTCTGACAGGGACCAGGACCAGTATTCTTACTCAGTATTTCTGTGCTCTGGAACCAGATCAGGTGATTACGTGCTGCAGGACCGTTCCAAGAGTAACGTAATTTTTAATGAAGGAGGAACACAGGAACCAACAAAAGGTTCAAGTGATGTAAGGTGGTGACCTCACTGCTGCTGCCAGTGCATGTGCACATGCACGTCAACATGCGTGTTGGTCGTCAGCTCAGACAGAAGCAGTTGGAGGAGGAGGAGGAGGAGGAGGAGGAGAAGGAGGAGCGCACTCAGCACGAGAAAACTGGGAAACACCTTTTCATGCTCACATCTCTCCGGACTAACACTGTTGGAAACCTACGCTGACGTATTGGAGACAAGAAGAAGAAACAAAAAACAACGTGCACGGCCCAGATTACAGTTTGAAACTGCCGTGCACGGCCCAGATTGCAGTTTGACAAGCCGTGCACACAGCGACGGGCCGTGGGTTTTAAAACCCCCTCCACTGGACTCGCTGCTCACTTGGTTCCAAACACCAGAACTCTCGTTTTCTCTCAGTTTTGAGTCATCGGATTTAGATTTAGACTCAGTCACCTCCAGTTTCACCAGCACAAAGTTGGCTTCATTTGGTCCTAACCTGTCTGGGTGTCCTGTCCAGGTTTCCTGCAGGGCCACGGTTCTGGGTACAGGAACCCCTGATAGTACTCAGAGTACTCTAAAGCAATGTTTGTTTCTAGTAAATATACAAACCAGAGACTCCAGTCATGCTTTAATCTGGGCACCAAACCCTAAATAAGATAATCATATTTCCAGACCTCCTGTGGAGACTGGACTGGACTGGTCTATGGTTGGTCAATGGTCTAATGCAGGGGTGTCCAGACCTGGTCCTGGAGGGCCACTCTCCTGCAGGTTTTACCCGTTTCCTGCTCCAGCACCTGATTCAGTAGCTGAATCTCCTCTTCATGTTCGGCAGAAGTCTGTTGGTCACCCGTTGATTTAGATCAGGTGTGTTGGAGCAGAGGAACACCTAAAACCTGCAGGGCAGTCGTCCTCCAGGACCAGGACTGGACTCCCCTGATCCAATGAACACTAAGCAGCACCAATGGAGTTTCTGCTTGAGCAGCTAACAACAAAAGGTGCTGTGAGCTTTCACTGAAGTTATCTTAAACTTGTAGTTGGTGTGTTGGGCAGAGGAAGAACCAGAACCCCGGACCCATTTGGCTTGTTTAGCTGCTCAAACGGTTCAGAACCACTGATTTAATGACATCAGGGAACTGATGGAGTTCATCTGAGAACCATTTCTGGCCCGCGGGCCATGCGTTGGCTGCATTTGGTTGAACATTAAAGTCAAGGCTTGAAGTGGTGAATTATTTAAAAGTGAATTTATCTTTTATTTACAAAAACATGAGAAATGCTCGACTTGTTTCAGCTCAGAGTTCATTCTTTTAGAAAAATGTAAACGCTGATGTTTCTCCACGTTTCTCCGCGCTCGGTTTTGATTTATCCGGACCTGGAAAACACTAAAACCAAATTCCAGACTTTTGCAGGCGTCCATGAGGCCGCCGGACTCACCTGTGCAGCCGGTGCTGCCCTTGCGGACAGAATATCCCAGGTCACAGTGACAGATGAAGGAGCCCTTGGTGTTCTCACAGTTCCCGCTCAGACAGATGTTTGGGTTCAGCTCGCACTCGTCCACATCTGCGCCGAGCAGGAAACAAGGAAACCAGCAGAACTTCAATAATAAAAAGCTTCATGGGAATTAATAAATCTTTTGTTGATTCTTTCTGCAGCTGAGTCACAAATAAAAATCACATCCTGTTCTTTAGCGAGGCTATAAAATGAGTTTCCTCAGTTGCAGCAGAACCCGTTTGGGCCTTCTGACATCAGCTTTTTGTTTAGTCTTAGTGGAACCAGGCGTCTAAATGTCACACATTCCTCCGTGTTCAGCCACAATAACACAATGTTCACGGCGTTTTAAACCAGCAGCAGCAACAAGCCGCTGCTCCGAGAGGCGCCGAGCCACCACGCCTCGCGCTCGTGACTCACTCTGGATCCCCCAGATCCCCAGAGGATCAGCACATCGTCTCAGAGAACTCAGCCTGCTGGGTCCAATCAGGACAAATGTGTGCGCTGTTACCCAGGCAGGTCTTCATGTCCTCCGAGGACATGAAGCCGTCGAAGCACAGACACTGGAACGCCCCCGGAGTGTTGGTGCACTGTCCCCCGTCGCACACCTCGGGCGACTCCTCACATTCATCGATATCTGAGGAAGGACCAGAGAGAGAGAGGCGTGTAACCAGGAAGCTGAAGCAGAACCATGGGGAAACGGGTCAAAGAGAATTTCACAGCATCCGCGGGAACGTGGCTGACGGTCTGGTGTTTAATAACAGAAATGTTAAAGCCTCAGTGCAGTGTTTCCCCTACTATTATACAGGCGGGGTGCCCCACCCCGTCTACCGAACCGCAACCCCCCAACCACCTGTCGGCACTGACATAATGCTAAGCTAGATGCTCGTAATACAGGTGCACTAGCTAAAAAGCTAAAGGCAGTCATGAACCCTCACGCTGAACACGCCCCCCCCCCCCCCCCCCCCGACCTGCTCCAAAACTGTAAAACTGTCAGTGCAAACAGTGTGCAGCTCTGGACTTGTCTCTGTCCGGCCCCCCACTGACAAAAATCAGACAAGATGAGCGCCCCACCATAAGTTATCTAAGGGAAACACTGCATTGTGGTTACCATGGCAATCCCAGACTGCATCTATCACTCCCTGACCACTAAGGCGGTCTGTGTGTAAAAACTCCAAGTCGGAGCTTTAAAAGTCTTTTAGTTCACAGGTTTGTTTTCATGTTTCTACACTGAGACATGATGGTTTAAAAAAGACTAACTTCCTGTTGGACGAGAAAAGTCTGATTTTGTTTATAATGTGCACGTTTTGTTTCACACAATGCGATCCAGGACAAAACTCAAAAGAGCAACAATAATCACCTTTAATTATTGATCAAAGCTACTGGTTCAAATGTTCCAGTGATCGGGTTAGAGCAGGGGTGTCAAACCCACTTAAAAGGGGGCCACAATTAAAACCGTTTTCAAACTATAAGGGCCGGTTTCAGAATCTACATTAACTCAAGTTAGATACCAGACATCTTTTCTTGGTTGCAGGTTCCTCAACAAGAGTTTGATTGGTCTCATTTGACGTTCTCTGTTGTACTTTTGACATCATATTCAAATATTACTGAAAAACTTACAGTGATAAAAGTATTTTACATTTAAAATAACATCTTGGGGCCAGATGAGACGTCAACGAGGTCCACATTTGGCCCCCGGCCCTTGAGTTTAACACATAGTGAAAAACAGAACTTTGTGCTGTGTTTGGATGAATCAGTGCCATGAGCTGCAGCGAAAATCTAAAATGAGTTTGTCGAGTCTCACTTCATACCCAGCGCCTGACGTTTTCTACCAGCTGGGTACGAAATGGTTCCTTCTAAAATGTGTTGAACTTTCAGCCTGCTGCTGCAAAATTATTCTTATGGTTGACTTCTTTCAAGACAGACGCTGCTTGGTTAGCTTTCGTCTCACTTGATGTTTGTCCTTGTAAATGTTTTTGTTTACATGTTTGTTTTTAAGTTCTCGTCTTCTTTCCCCTCCTGTTTGCCAGGTCACAGTAGTTTGTAGTCCGTCCTGCCTGGTTGAGTAAAGGTTAAATAAACAGCAGTGGAAGGATGACCGGACCTGGAGTTGTCACAGAACCAAAGCTGAGTCTAAGGAGTCCAGTAGGAGGCAGACAGCCGTGCTGAGACTCACCGGTGCAGGTCCTGAGGTCCGGCATCAGAGCGTAGCCGGCGCGGCAGCTGCACTCGTAGCTGCCCTCTGAGTTGGTGCAGAAAGTCTCACAGCCACCGTTCTCGATCGTACACTCGTCAATGTCTGAGCAGCCGAGAAATGAGACGGAGCAAGAGTCAACAAAGAAATCTGAGAGGAGAACCGTCTGAGCCAAGTTCAGAACGTACCGACACAGCCCTGCCGGTCTTGGGTGGATTTGTAGCCCGTGTTGCAGACACACTGGTACCGGCCGATCATGTTCACACACTGACTGTTTCTGCATAGCCTGTTGCTCAACTCACACTCGTTTATATCTGGAGGGAACAACACAAACATCAGATTTTTGTGCACAGAAAACAAACAAACCTTCAGGAAATCTGAATCTGTCTCAAACGCTGCAGGAGGAAGACGTCAGTGCTGGGAACAAGACTCACTTCTATTAGGACATCAAGAAAGAATAAAAAAATACAAACTTTAAAGAACAAGTTCATGGAATTACATCTGTCTCCATGCAAGTGTGGTTGTCTGTTAGCAAAATATCACACGATTCATTGAATGAATTCTAAAGTAAGAAGTGGATCAACATCCGTTGAACGTTTGGAGCCACATCTCTCTATGAGAGACGAACAGTTCTACCTGGAGACATCCATCAGGGAGGGGTTAGATCAGAAGACCAAATCAGGTTTCTCACCGAGGCAGGCCGAGCCGTCGGCAGCGATCTCGTGTCCGTCGGGGCAGACGCACTGGAAGCTGCCCTCAGTGTTCACACATTCACCTCCACGGCACAGCAGGGGGTTCCTCTCACACTCGTCGATGTCTGACAGTGAGAGAGACAGACACAGGTCAGAGGTCGCAGGTCAGGGACAAGGTCAAAGGTCACAGGTTTAGAGGTTGCAGGTCATGGGACAAAGGTCAGAGATCACAGGTCAGGAGTCACAGGTCCATGGTCTAAGGTCAGGGGTCGCAAGGTAGGGGTCGTGGATCAGGGATCGCAGGTCATCGGTCGCAGGTCAGGTATCACAGGTTGCTGGTCAGAAGTCACATGTCAGGGGGTCGCAGGTCAGGTGTCACAGGTTGCTGGTCAGAGGTCGCAGGTCAAGGGTCACAAGTTAGGGATAGCAGGTTAAAGGTCAAATGTCAGGGGTCACAGGTCAGGGGTCACATGTTGCAGGTCAGAGGCCACAGGTTGCAGTCCAGCAATCACATGTAAGGGATCGCAGGTCAGAGGTCACAGGTTAGAGGTCGCAGGTCAGAGGACGAAGATCAGAGGTCACATGTCATCAGAGGTCGTGTCGCAGGTCCATGGTCTCAGGTCGGTTGTTGTAGATCAGGGTCATAGGTCAGAGGTTGCAGGTCATTGGTCACAAGTCCGTGGTTGCAGGTCAGGTATAACAGGTTGCTGGTCAGAGGTCACACGTCAGGGAGTCGCAGGTCAGAGGCCGCTGGTTGCATGTCAGGGGTCACAGGTCAAGTATTGCAGGTCAGTTGACACAGGTCGCAAGTTACAGGGTTGGAGGTCGCAGGTTAAGTTTTCATCAGCAAACACCTCTCCTCTCAGCAGCTCACTAGTTTCTAACTAGTTTCAGAAAGTGTGTGACCCCGACAGACAGGAAGTACCTGTTTCTATCCTCTAATGCACTGAGTACAGTATCTCTCATTTTAGTTCATTCACAGAAGCTCTGTGTCACAACTTAGCTCTGATGAGAACGTTACTGATGAATGAGGCTGTTTTACCCAAACAGAAAACAATTTGTCACAGCTCATGGCTGCACACAGAGATGGTTCAGATCAGCTGACTGGGTTCACTGAAAGTTCTGGACACAAAAAAAGAAATAAAAACTAGACAAACAGCAATTACTGTCATTCTGAAGAAGCTGAAACTGAGTTGGTGAAGCTAAAAGTAGAAAAGCATTAACTAAAAGCTAAAAGCAACAAAATGGTAGCTGAAAGCTAACCGTAGCATGGGAAGACAAAAACAGAGCCTGCAGCTGCAGTGGATTTTAAATAAATCTGTTTTTGAACAAACTGAGGACATCGCCATGTGATTTTGTAAGAAAAAAACTTGTAAATAAAGTAAAATATTTTAAAGAGTATAACATTTATAAAAACTCAAGAGTGTTGGCAGCCATCCCCTGAATGAGCTGAACATTTTTACATGAAGTCTGCAGAATCAGAGCCAACGTTCTCACTATGATCTTTAAAATCATCTTCTTTGTGAGGACATTTGGACGGTCCACACCGGGACTTTTCTGATCATTGCTCCTCATGCATGAAGAAAAGAACACGGGCTGCTAATATCAGATGACATCATCCACCTCAGCAGCCTGTCTCAGCCCCTCATCAGGGGTTTATGACAGCAGGCTTTGGATCCAGAACTGGGACCATGAGGCGGACCCTCCCTGTAGCTGGAAATCATTAAAGTCTGGATGGGCTCTCAGATATGGACTCTTTAACGAGGCGCATCAGGGAGGGGCTGAACACATCAAGTATGCATATGACTGAACCACAGCTGATCTGGGTTCTGCATATTTAGTGGGTCCAGATGAGGGGTTTTACTCACCCATGCAGTTCTTCATCATCATGAAGCCGCTCTCGTAGCCGTCGAAGCACTCGCACTCAAAGTCTCCGGGCGTGTTGACACACCGGCCCTGTCCACACAGGTCCGGGGAAATCCGGCACTCATCAATGTCTGCAGGGGACGGTAAAAAAGTAAAACAGATGAATAATAATTTAAGATGCAGAAATTATTAAAAACAGGAGAGTAAAGTTCAGTGCAGTGCAGACAGAGCAGGACAGCACTAAAGGTTTGAGAAGAAGCCAGAAAAGGAGACAAAATGGCTCCTTCAGCAGAAACATTTCACTTGACTCACAGCAGGTCTCCTTCACTGAGCAGGAGACAGGAAATCATCCAGACTGTACTGTCTTCTGTAACTAAACCAACTGAAGGGAACTGGCTCTCACGGGTCCAACAGAATCAGGTTCACATCAGGCTGAGAAGAGCTGAACAGCAGATCAACTACTGATTTACGAGTATTTAAGTTTCTTTCAAAGTTTATTCTGTTATTTTTAATGCTGCTTAATTTATTATTTTTGAGTTCATCTAATTTTCTCCAGTTTTTTTCCTGATGCTTCATCAAAAACTGAACTTTTTGCCGTACATTTTACACACATCTGAATTGAACGGGTGCGTTCCTTTTCAGTCAGCCGGACGACAACCCGGGTACAACTGATGACGAGCAGAAGTCGTTAATCAGATCCAGTCACTTCATTCAGCACTTCTGGATCTTGGCAGACAAACATTATGTGTTGTTTACATCGATCACATGTTTTGACTGGTTTAGCTTCTGGAAATGAGCGAAGCATTCAGCTGATGTCCCACTGGTGCAAACTCCACCCACCCAGCTTGCCACTTTGTCAGTCGGACTGCTAAAGGTGCACAGCCACAGAGTGCAGGACTGTGGGGGCTTTGAGATGATTTACGTCTCAAGAGGAAACAAAAAAAAATCTTTGTTTCTTTCTGTTGTTCGTCACATGCTTATTTTATAGTTCAACACTTTGGTCGGCCTTCTGTTTATGCTTCATAAATGAAGCAATTGAAATAAACAAAGTTGTATTTTATGGATTAATGTCAGCTGCATGTTGTGACATTCTGTCCACATAACTGTCAGATCTGTGTTTCTGTAGAAGTTTGTGTCTGATTTATTAAAGATTATCATGTTCAAACTTCTCTGTGCTCTTTCTCCTCTCCTCCCTGGCAGCTCCACATTCAACACCCCTTGTCCAATATATATGTCCACCGTCCCTTCTTTGGACATGTCCAAACCATCTCAGCATCTCTACCTTTGTCTCTAATTACAGTTTAGTTTTACCTGACGACCACCAGTAAAACTCACCTGTACAGTTTCTCTCGTCAGAGTCCAGCGCGTAACCGTTATCGCAGCGACAGCGGAAGCTGCCGATGGTGTTTCTGCACCTCCCGTTCGAGCAGAGCGTGTTGATCATCCTGCATTCATTAATGTCTGCAGAAACAGACAGTCAGGTCTTGGACCACAAACAGCTCATGGCGGGTCTCAAACAGCACTGTACCTTTGAGGAAGGGTCTGCCGTTGATGAAGTCTCCTCTGTGTGAGAATCCGGGGCCCCGAGGACAAAGCTGAGCAAACTCTGAAGTCCCCTTTTCTGGACATTCGTCACATTCGGGGCCCCAGGCGACTCCGACGGAGCAGCAGCAGGCATCCACGCGGTGCTTCCCCGATATGGCCAAACCACAGCGCTCATCATCATGGGTCAGGTAGCAGTGCTCTGTCCGCAGGTCTGCAGGGCCACAACACACTGTTTACACACTCCACACGCAAAAAGATTAATCGTCAGTGTCATTAGTTAAAGCACAAGACTCACCGATGCACGTCCTTCCACTGATGTCTACGGTCATCCCAGGGGGGCACTGACAGAAGAAGGAGCCTTGAGTGTTCACACATTTACCATTGATGCAAACACCTGGAAACACCTGGCACTCGTCAACGTCTGTGAGTCAACAAAAAGAAAACAAGAAGAAGATCAGGACAGCAATAACAAGATAAGAACAACAAGATCAGGACAACATCAACAAGATCAGGACAACAACAACAAGATCAGAACAAAAACAAGATCAGGACAACATCAACAAGATC